TTTGCTGCATCTCCAAGGTTCTGAACTGTCATGTTTTCATTTTCAGTTGCTTCCATGTATTTTTCATTCTTCTTTAATTTCCTGTTAACCCATTCATTCTTTAGCGGGATGATTTTTAACCTCCATGTGTTTGTGGTTGTTCCAAATATTTTCTTGTGGTTGACTTCAAATTTCATAGCACTGTGGTCGGAAAATATGCATGGTATGATCTCAAGTCTTTTTGTAGTGGTTGAAGCCTGATTTGTGAACCTGTCCATGATCTATTCTGGAGAATATTCCATGTACATTCAAAAAGAGCATGTAGTCTGCTGCTTTTGGATGAAATGCTCTGAATATATCTGTTAAGTCCATCTGGTTCAGTGTGTCAGGTAGACCCTAGTTTCCTTGTTGATCTTCTGCTTAGATGATCTGTCCATTGATGTGAGTGGGGTGCTAAAGTCCCCTACTATTATTGTATTATTATCAATCAGGTTAAGTATTTTATTAATTGATTTATATATTTGGCTGCTCCCAAGTTAGCATAAATATTTAAAATTGTTAGATGTTCTTGCTGAATGGACCCCTTTACTATGATATAGTGCCCTTCTTCATCTCTTGTTATGGTCTTTGTTTGAAAATCTGGTTTGACTGATATAAGTATGGGTACTCCAGCTTTCTTTTGATGTTCATTAGCATGGTAAATGATTCTCCACCCCCTCACTTTCAAACTGGAGGTGTCTTTGTATCTAAAATGAGTCTTTCATAAGTGGCATATTGATGGGTCTTTTTTTTTATTCATTCTGATATCTTATGCCTTTTGATTGGATAATTTATTCCATTTACATTCGGAATAATTATTGATATATATGAATTTAGTGCCAGTGTATTACTGGCACTATTACCTGTAAAGTCTCTGTTTCTGTCTAGTCTTTGTTGCTTTTGGTCTCTCTTTCCCTGTCAAATGGTCCCCTTTAATATTTCTTGCCGAACTGGTTTAGTGTTCATGAACTTCTTTAGTTTTGCTTGGAAACTATATCTCTCCTTCTATACTGAATGACAGCCTTGGGGGTTAAAGTATTCTTGGCTGCATATTTTTCCTTGTAGCATGTTGAATATTTCCTTCCACTCTCTTCTGGCCTGCCAAGTTTCAACAGACAGGTCTGCTGCTACCTTATGTGTCTACACTTGTAAGTTAAGGACGTTTTTCCCACGACATCAAAAACTAATGTTGGCTAACTGAACACAATAATTAAAAAAAAAAAAAGATCCTTTTCCCTAGCTGCTTTCAGAATTCTCTTTTTACCCTTGTATTTTGCAAGTTTCACTATGATATGTCTTGGTGTTGACTTGTTTTTGTTGATTTTGAGGTGAGTTCTCTGTGCTTCTTGGAATTGAATGTGTATTTCCTTCCCCAGATTAGGGAAGTTCTCAGCTATAATTTGTTCAAATAAACCTTATGCCCCTTTTCCCCCACTCTTATTCTGGGGCTCCTGTGATATGGATATTATTTTGCTTTATGGACTCACTGAGTTTCCTAAGGCTACATGCATGATCTAATAGTTTTCTTTCCCTTTCATTTTCAGCTTCATTATTTTCCATAATTTTATCTTCTATATCACCTGTTGCATCAAGATTTTTTCTTTGTCTTTGGCTCTGTACATCTTATTTGTAATATGTCTTATTATGGGTCTCTGAATTTTTCCTACTTAAAGTTCATTGAGCATTGTGGATGTGTTTATTAATGTCTTTCATCAAATTTGGTAAGTTTTTAGCCACTATTTCTTCAAATATTGTTTCTGCTTTTTTATTTCTCTCTTTTCCTTCTGGGAATCCCAATTGTTTGTTAGTCCACTTGTTGGTGTCTCTTAGGTTTTGTTTACTCTCTTCATTCCTTTTGTATTTCTGTTCCTCACACTTGATAATTTCAACTGTCCTCAAGTTTGCTCATTCATTTTTCTACCTGTTGAGAGCTGCTATTTAACTCTTGTAGTGATTTTTTTCATTCAGTTAGTTTACTTTTCAGATCCAGGATTTCTGTTTGGTTTCTTTTTATAATTTTGATATTACCATTTTGTTCATACACTTATTTCTGATTTTTTTAGTTCATGTTTTTCTTTGAATATATTTAAGATTTTAGTCTTCTACTCTTTGTCTAGTAAGTCCAATGTCTGGACTTCCTCACAAATACTTTCCATCAATTTTATTTGTTTCTTTAAATGAGCCATACATTCCTGTTTCTTTATGTGCTTTGTCACTTTTTTGTTCAAAACTAATCATTATAATGTGGCGTTAATCAGGTTTTTTTTTTCCTTCCTCACATTTAGCTTTTTTAAAAAATTGTATTTATTAAAAGCTATATTAGTTCATTTATTTAGGTGTTTTTCCAAAATCTTTTTTCAAACACTGTATTCTTTCCCATAGGTGGTCATTTAGTCTGTGTTCATTTAGATCATGGTTAGCTAATATTTTTATTTATTTATTTAATTAATTTATTTATTTATTTGAGAGGGAGAGCATGCAGGGGGGGAGGGGCAGAGGGAGAGGGAGAAGCAGACTCCCTGCCGAGCATGGATCCCTATGTGGGGCTGGATCCCAGGATCCTGAGATCATGACCTGAGCCGAAGGCAGATGCTTAATGGACTGAGCCATCCAGGTGCCCCACTAATATTTTGATAGAGTTTTCCTTGAGTGCCAGAAATTTAAAAAAATAAAAATAAAATAAAATAAACCCACGCACCTTTCCCAGCCTTTGCAGATTGGGTCTGTGCTGAAGCACTCCTTCAACAATTAGCCAAACTTGGCACTCAGCCTATGGATCAGCCCAATGTGTAAGCTTTGGGTCTTCTCCTTTTATAAGCATGTCTCTTGACCTAGGAATGCATGTGCCTTTCTAAATTCCCCCATATATATGGGTGCTTCTGAATCTTTTCATTTCCCAACACATTTCTCTCATTTTTTCTAACCCTTCCAAGATTAGGAAGTCTATCATGTTTCTTTGTTCATAATTTCTTGCCCCAGATATCCGTGGTTTGTTAGTTTGCTTTGCAGCATTTTTTTAAATAAATGCCCGCCCCTTTTCCAGTCTGAATTCTGAACTGAATGAAACAGAAGTGAACACTTCATACCAGTCTTTCAGGTAGCCAACAGACAGGTTAGAACAGTCATACACAATAATTTATTAATAAGTTTTGCTCAATTCACTCTGGAACTAGGGATGAAGCCCTCCCACTAAGAACACAGGCTGCTGCCACTTTAAGATTGCCTCCACTTCAGGGCTGGTGCTGCTCAGGAGACTTGTGTAGTAAAGGCAAACAAAAATGGCATAAAACTTTCCTTTCATTTTCAAGTTGTCTTTTTCTTGGTTCAGCATTTGCTTAATCACTGTAAATCTTTGTTTCCCAGAGTTCTGACAACTTTGATTCTGACAATTTCTGCATACTTTTCTTTTTTTAGGAATTATTTATTTATTTGAGAAGGAGAGAGAGAGAGAGAGCACATGGGCAGGGGGAGGGGCAGAGGGAGAGGTAGAGAAATCCTCAAGCAGACACCCTGCTGAGCATGGAGCCTGATGTGGGGCTCAATCCTGGGACCCTGAGATCATGACCTGAACTGAAATCAAGAGCTGGACGCTCAACCAACTGAGCTACCCAGGTGCCCCTCTGCATGCTTTTCTGTTACTATGAGGAAATGAAGGCTTGGAGCTGCCACCTCCTCCATTTTCCTGATGTCCTGTCATTTTTAATATATTGATTTCAGCATTTCTCTGGGTGTTACTGTGTACCAGAAAATCACAGTATAAATAAAATTAAAGCAGTTTTAAATATAAAATAAGTACAAAAGAAAAAAAAAACCAACAGGCAGTTTTCTTGGGGCCAGGCCTGAGAGAGGCATGCATCATTTTATCCATGTTCCATTAGCTAGAAATTAGGCACCTGGACCCCCCTAACTACAGTGGGGTTAGAGAATGTTGGCTAGTGGTATTCTCAGGAAGAAAGGAGGTTTAGTTTGACAATCAGCCGAATTCTGCCACAACTAGCAAATAGTTAATATCCCCTGATAACTAGAGTTGTATTTTGAGAAAAAGCTATGATATATCAGGCAGGTGCCTTGTACCTAAGTTAGAATGTCAGAGTTGGAAGAATATTTAGAGACTATCTACTTCAGCCTCTTCAGATGTTGGGGCTTTTGATGCTCAGAAATGGAGAGGGGCTGGCTAGAGTCACATTAAGTCAATATTAGACCTGAGCTAAGAAAGAGCTGGATCACTCATCTCTCCTCTATATCATTGGCATTCAAACATTTTTTTACCATTACCAAGAGTAAGGAATACATTTTTTTTTATCACAACCTAACACATACTTGCATATATTTTATCTGTAAAAGTTTTACAATATAATATTGCAGTATTGGTAGTGATTACAGCTATTTGTTAAATATTTCCATCTCCCCACCTTCTAGAACATTGTGGAATTGCATTTTCTTTTACTTGTGTAGTTACTAATAATCAGATGATATGTGTGGTCAAAGACATGTGAGCAAAGTGAAATGGATCATTTCTGGAAGAAAGTAAGAGCCATGGCAATTCACAAAGTTCTCTTTTCCCTGATGCTCCAATCATGGCCACACAAAGATAAAACCTCTGCCACCTCGTGTAGCCCAGTGAGAATAATGTAAAACATAACTCCTACTAGACCTCTGGTAAGCAAATAGGGTGAGTGAGAACTAAGCTTTTGTTCTTTTAAGACACTGAGATTTGGAATTTGCTTTTTGCCTTAGCATAACCTAGCCTATGCTGACTAATACTTAGCATTAGTATAAGCACTCTGATATTTATATCATTATTTTGTTTTGTTTTTCAATTTCAGTGCTGATCTCAAACTAGTAAATTTATTTTATGATTCATAAATGTGTTGCAACTTGCAGTTTGTAAAACATTACTTATATGATGTCCATTTGTCCCATAGCTGATCCTCTCTCCAAGTTTCTGTTGAGCAATGTTAGTGATCCCCATCTCTCTGCAGGATTGTGGTTATGGAGAAGGTGGGGATGCATACTGCACAGCCTGCCCTCCCCGCAGATTCAAAAGCAGCTGGGGCCACCATAGATGTCAGACTTGCATCACCTGTGCTGTCATCAATCGTATCCAGAAGGCCAACTGCACAGCTACCTCTAATGCTGTCTGTGGGGACTGTCTGCCTAGGTGAGCCTGCTGTGTGAGACCAAGCTTTCCTAGACCTTTTATATTCCTTGGAGGTCTTTTTCATCCTTACCTCTCAGAGTCTAGTTGAAGTATTCTAACTGTCCGTATCATGATGAGCTTAAGCTCCCATGAGAGAGAAGCAGTGTCTTCTCATGATCCGCCTACAAAGTGCCTAGCACATGGTCAGCCACAGATGAATACTTAACAACTTTTTCATCATGCTGGCATGCTTAAGCCAAGGCCCAAGATTCAAAATAAATCTCACTGTAGATTATGAAGCACTTCTCCCCTCTCTTGTAAGACTAATTCCCATTTTAGCTATCGGGTATGGTGAATGGGGAAGGAGGTGGAACATCTGGGACTCTGATTCAGAATCAGACATAGAGGCAGAGCATTCATGAGGATTGCAGATGGGTGCTGGCTTCCAGGAGGGCAAGACTTTTAGAAGTTGCTTATGGTCTCAGTAAGGACCACCTCACGTGCATTGCTTATTTTATTACCTTGCCATTCCTTATTGCTCTGACCATAGATTCTACCGAAAGACACGTATTGGAGGACTGCAGGACCAAGAGTGCATCCCATGCACAAGACAGACACCCACCTCTGAGGTTCAGTGTGTGTATCCAGTTCTCTTCTCTTGTTTTCCTCCAACCCATTGAGTGGTAGCAAAATAGGGTAGTAAAGATTTCCCCTACTCCCTGTACTCCTTCCTGTAGAGCAGATTGGCAAGGGAAACAGTTAGATTTGATTTCTTATTTCACAATACATTATCTGCCTAACCCTCTTTACATCATCTGAAAAGAATTTAAGTCATGATAATCACCATTCTTCATACCTTATGAGATGGCTGTCTAGGTCTAATGAATTAATAGATTTAGAAAACACTATAAATTATAATATTTGTGCATTTATAGATGATAATGATGATGATAATATGAGGTTTAAAAGAGTCTCTATTGCTTAGGAATAGTAAAAGCCTGAATGAAGTACTAGGATCTAGTCTATGCCCATACCACTATCCATTTTTCTGTCTATCTATCATTTTTATCTATTTACCATCTCTATATATACTCACTCTTTTAAAATTATTGATATTTTTATATTATGAAATACTTCAAATATGTAGAAATATTTAAAATGAAGAAAAATATAAAAATGGTTAGTTGCGGACACCTGGGTGGCTCAGTTGGTTAAACATCTACCTTTGGCTCAGGTCGTGATCCCGGGGTCCTGGGATCGAGTCCCACGTCAGGCTCCCTGCTCAGCAGGGAGTCTGCTTCTCCCTCTGCCCCTATCCCCTGCTCGTGTTCTCTCTCTCAAAAATAAATAAATAAAATCTTTATAAAAAAAGGTTAGTTGTACAACATCCAAAATTAATAAATTTTAACATTTTGCATATTTACTTCAGATTTTCTTAAAAAGAACAAAGATTCCACAGGTTTAATAGAATTCCTTTTTTTCTAAAGATTTTGTTTATTTATTTGAGAGACAGAGAGAGAGATCATGAAGGAGGGGCAGAGAGAGAGGGAGAAGCAGACTCCCCTCTGAGCAGGGAGCTCAAAGCAGGGCTCAATCCCAGGACCCTGGGATCATGACCGGAGCCAAAGGTAGATGCTTAACTGACTGAGCCACCCAAGCACCCCTATAGAATTCCCTTTTGAATCCTCTCTGAATTTCATTCTCTCTCTATTTCCCCAGAGGCAACCACTGTCATAAAATTGTATGCATCCTATTGGTAGGCTATGCTACAGTAACAAACCCCTAAATCTCAGTGACTTAATACAACAAAAGCTTATTTTTCACTATACAAAGACATTTCTCCATCTTGTGACTATACCATCTAGACCATGTGGCTCCTAGGTTGATGGAACAAAGAAGATATGGAAGAGACATAGTGGTTTTTAACTACTTCAGTCTGTAAGGGACACACATTACTTTCACTCATGGTCCATTGACCAGAAGTACTCTGATGGCCTAACTACAAGGGTGTATAGGAAATGCAGGGAAGCATGTGGATAATTGGTGAGCACTATGATTCTACCAAACCCTCCACCCATGTTTTAATACTTGTATTTTTTGGTGATAGATGTTTTATATAAATTACTTCAAGTTACTCACTTTCCCCAATTTGCCTTTTCCCTTCTGGATTATTTATATTGATCCATACAGGTCTTTTATTTTAAGTTATATAATAATATTATATCATTACATGATTTATTTATCCTGTACCTTACTGATGAACATTTTAGTTTGTTTCCAGTTTTCTAGGTTATATAACTAGATGTGACATGGAAAGACCATAAAATATGTGTATCTTCAAATAATTATATTAACTTATACCATACCAACAGTATATGCAAGTTCTTCCATTTTGTTCTTTATGTTTCTGCCTTCTCTACAAAGAATTAAAACCAGCTTAGCAGTCCTAACTGGGGAAGGTCCTAGGAAGAGGATAATGGCCTAAGGAAGTTCAGGCCCAGCGTCAGGGTGACTATTGACTGCCCACAGTGACTGACTTCCCCCACTTTCTTGTCTCACAGGTGCCTTCCAGTTGAGCTTAGTGAAAGCAGATGTACCCACAGTGCCCCCTCAGGAGGCCACACTTGTTGCACTGATGAGCAGTCTGCTCGTGGTGTTTACCCTGGCCTTCCTGGGGCTCTTCTTCCTCTACTGCAAGCAGTTCTTCAACAGACATTGCCATCGTGGTAAGGGTAGCTGCTTCACATATTACATGTATTGGGAGCAAGGCTCTGATTAGCAGAAGAGAGGAATTTTCTGGGGTTGAGAGTTAATGGGCCTTCCCTACAGTGTTGAAAAACTTCAGTGGTGGACTATCTGTGGGTGGCAATAGAAAGCATGGGGCTTCAGAGACAACTGAGGCCAACCCTGCAAGTTTATGGAACCTGATTCATTAAGGTACAGGGGTTCATAAAGGAACACAACATCATGAGAAAGATTCCTTCCCTTGGGGAAGGAATCTGGATACCTAGGTTCTAAATCAACCTATACATAACTATGCAACTTTAGACAAGTCATCTAGCTTCTTTGGGCCTCTTTATCCCCAATCTTTAAAATGAGAGTTGGTGTTGGATTAGTTGGTTTCTAAGTTCTTTTCTAATTCTTCATTTCTACTTATATGTACAGATTCTGGAGCTTGTCAGGAATGGAGGATGAATGGCTGGTTTTGAGACATGACTGTAATAAAAGTGGGTGAGGTCTTGGGCAACAGTTACCAGTATAGTAATATCCCAAATGTGGGTAACTGAGAGCCCAGTTTCCAGAGGAGTTGGTGGACACAGACATTTTCCCCCAGACAACACTGACACCCAAAGAGGTCAGGCCCAGCCCATAGGAGATTGCCATGGAAATTGCAGATGGAAGGTCATATTTAAAGTCAGGAGTACCATTGTGATCTGATTTCAGCACAACTCTAGCCATTAGCCAAAAATATGGGACAGAAAGTCCAGGTCACTGAAGGTAAAGATGGGAGGAGATAGGATGATGGGCTGGCCAGCAATAAGCAAGGGGTTAAAGCAGGAGCCCAGAGTACTAAGGTTCAGTGCAGCTTTAGTGTCATTGAGTTACTGAGAGCTAGGCAGAGACACCTAAACAGGAATCCAGGCTAGTGAATAGAGTTTATTTAGTAAGAAAGGGGGAGGATAAAGTTTCTTAGATACACTGGTGCTCAGACTCCTCTTCAGCCCACTGGATACTGGGCCCAAAACAATATCACTTTTTTAACTTCCCTCTATGTGGGAAAATCTCTTTTACATAGACCTCCTTGGGTAAGTTTGGCTTTAGGCCATGCCAGATAATCTATAAAAGGCCTAGCGTATAGGTTTGGCTTAAGTAGTGGTGAATCTAGCATTTCATGGGCTACAGGGACACAAAGGGAACACTGTTATCCCTTTATGACCCCTCTCAAGCTCTGCTTCTTTCTCCTCTACTATTTGGTGGATCATGGAACATTGTGGTTCAGGGTGGACCATCTTGTTTCTGACTTTGGAACCAGTTTCTTAAATAAGAAAGCTGTTGCCCAGTCCCTGGGCATGGGCATGAAACATGGGCAGTGAAGAATTTGGTCCCCACAGCCCAAAAAGATGAAGATGAGGCAACATCTGAGAGTTGCTTTTGTCCCTCCTCTTGCCTCAGGAAAGGAGAAATGGGTAACCCGTCTCTGCTCCTCCCCTCTCTTCAAGATAATAATGAAGTACCCTTCTCTGGGGATATGAAGGCAGGTAGCTCCCTCAGGGTCTCCAAAGGAGAAAGAGGATAAGATTTTTTTTTTTCCATTTGGAGAGGGTGTTTATCAGGAGTCACTGACTAACATGCATACTGGAGTCATATGGGGAAATTAATGTGTGAATTAGATCCAATATATGGTGTAATAGAGAGGAGTAGGGACTATGGCAAACTAAAGAGTTAGTTGATCTCCTGTCCAAAGGGGAATCTGCTACTCAGCTCCAGGTGGTTCATTCTTTCTTTCCTTCCTCTCTTCCTTCCTTCCATCCTTCTTTCCTTTTTTCTTTCTTTCTTTCTTTCTTCCTTCCTTCCTTTTTCTTTCTTTCTTTCTTTCTTTCTTTCTTTCTTTCTTTCTTTCTTTCTTTCTTTCTTTCTTTCTTTCTCTTTCTCTTTATTTTACCATGGGGGAATATTCAATGTTTTAAGATCTTCTGAATTTTCAGAAGAATCCAGAAATCTGAATTTCTGTATGATAGTTTTAAGCTCTGATGATGAATTCTAATAACAAAATACATACATACATACATACATACTGAATGAATGAATAAATGAATGAATGAGAAAATAAATAAATAAATAAATAAAACAACCACAATGCAGAGGGTCAAACAAATACACATCCTGTGGGCTCTTAGTTTATAACCTGATGCTGTATCAGACTTATGCATGAAGCATGTACTACTTTTCTATCACTGCTGTAACAAATTACCACAAATTTAATGGCTTAAAACAAAACTCATTTATTATCTCACCATTTCCATAGATCAGAAGCTTTGTAGGCTTAGCTGGATCTCTTCTTAGAGTCTTAGAAGGCCAAACTCAAGGTGTTCACAGGACTGTGTTCCTTTCTGGAAACTGGAGGAGAGAATCCATTTCCTTGTTCATTCAGAAAGATGGAAGAATTCAGTTACTTGCAGTTATAGGGATGAGGTCCCATTTCCATGCTGTCTGTCAGTTGAGGGCCATTTACAGTTTCTAGAGACCATTCGCATTCTTTGGCTTATGACCCCTTTTCATTTTCAAAACTAGTTCATGTCACGTCTCTCTGATATTCTTTCTGACTCTTCTGCTTTTATTCTTCTGCTTTTAAGAGCACATGTAATGACATTGGGGCCACCTGGGTAATACAAGATAATATCACTATTTTAAGGTCCATAATCTTAATTCCATTTGCAATGTGCCTCTTGCCATATGACACAACATAACACACAGGCATAACACCAAGGGATGAAGATCATGGAAGAAGAGGGTCAAAATCCTGCTGCCCACAAAGGGTTTCTCTTTCTCTGGAGAAATTGACCCTTTTTCTTGATCTACCACTAGGTAGCCTCAATTTGATACCCCAGTGTAAGTGTGTTTCCCAACTGTATCACCTCAGCCTGGTGCTAGGTCCTTAGATCTCCAGGGAGGGGAAGGGGAGCACTACTTCCCGGACCCTGCCCATCTTGTACTCAGAACCAGGTGCTCCACTGAAAGGAGCTCCTGCCTTTGGTTGACCCAGTGGCTTTCTGCTTCAAGTTGCAGGAGGTTCGCTGCAGTTTGAGGCTGATGAGGCAGCAGAAGAGGAATCTCTCTTCACCATGCCACCTGGCCAGGAGACCAGTCCTGAGTCCCCACTGAATGAAAGCATCTTTGAGACCCAGCCACTTAACCCCATCCTGGATGATGACTGCAGTTCAACTTGTGGCTTTCCCACACAGGAGTCTTTTACCATGGCCTCCTGTGCCTCAGAGAGCCACTCCCACTGGGTCCACACCCCCATCGAATGCACAGAGCTAGACCTGCAAACGTTTTCCAGTTCAGCCTCCTATACTGGAGCTGAGACCTTGAGGGGGGACACAGCTGAAAACTCTGAAGACAGACTGGAGTTCAATATGCCCTTTGAAGTCCCCAGCCCTTAACTCTAGTGAGGTGAGCTGGAAAGGTGGGACAGAAAGACCAGAAACTGGGGACCACCCCCAAGGAATTTTCCTCTGGAATACTGTTGTTCAGTAGGGCTAGGGGTAGAGGAAGAGAAAGCTAGAAACACTGGAGGGGCAACAGTGGCTATGCTAATCTTTGGAGTCTGTCAGGTAATATCACATTTCTGGGCCTACAATTGTCAAGGAAGTAGCCAGGTTGACATGATGCTGGTCTTTCTATCCTGGTCTTTTACAAGCTTTCTCAGGGCCTCACTGTCTAATAGTCATATTCAGTTATCTCTGCTCATGTGTACAAGCACCATGACACAATGGGAAAATATGTAAGCCTTGCCATCTGGCAGCCTGAAATCTACCTCTGTTCCTTAATAGCTATGTGAACCTTCTGTAAATCTTTTTACCTCTCTGAGCCCCAGGTCTTTAAACCATAAAAAGTAGAGTACTACTCACCTCATAAGTTCTTATAAGGGTTGAGTAAGAAATGTATGTGCAAGCGTCTTTTATAGTGCCTGATGCATTAGAAATATTTAAATCATGTTAATTTTCTTTCCTTCCCCAGCCCCAGTCCAATTTATATACCCCTACATATTGACTACACTTGTCTGATCTAACACCCCTTTGTGGTAAGCAGGTCAGGGTTTGTTAGCCTTGTTTTATAGAGATAGGAACTGAGACAGAGAGGGAAAATGATTTGCTCAAAGTCACAGAGCAAATCAATGGTAGAATTAAGCTAGAGCCCAGTTTGGGGGCTCCATTCCAGAGTTTGTCTAACTTTATCATTGTGACCATTCTATAGCCAATGTTACTTTCTCAGAGGCTTAAGTAGCATGAGACAATATGAGGCAGGAGAGTGGATAGATTCCAACTTTTCAACTAACCAACTACCTTTTAAAACCCTTTTCCATATTTCTGCAGCTAAGATATTGTCCAGGCCCTCTGACTCCCCCTTCCCTACATCTACCTAAGAAAATGTGAACAACATGTAGGTGAAATCTAACACTGCTATCAAACCAGTCAGCTTAGTTATCTTCAAGGTTATCTAGTCCAACTTCCCTTCCAAGTCCTCCAATCCATGTTTGAGTTCCTTTTGTAATATCCCCAACAAATGTTTGTGTCACCTTTGCTCACATATTTACAGTGTCAGAGAGCTTACTACTGCCCAATGTGTATTGCAGCTATGACTGGTAGATTGGAGCTCAATGTAAAGAAAAACCTTCTGTCTCCCTGTAGTAGCTACTCATGGGTCTTAGATCTGTTCCATGGGCCACACAGACTTCATCTGCTTTCTCTGCCTTGTGATAGCCCTGAAGAGGTCTAAAAATTACATTTCCTCTCTGGAACGTACCACTTTGTGTTTCTCTAGAGAATGTGGGGCTTAAAGCTGAACCCAGCTTCATGAGGAATGGTCTCACCAAGATAGAACAGGGTAGAACTATCATCAACCTAGCTAAGTGATGTATTTCTACTGTTTCTAATGTTTCAACCATTGACCTAAACTATGTTGTTGTTGTTTTTTTTAAAGAGATAAGGAGAGCAGGAGACTAATGAGATTGCTCCACAGATTTCTAACTTGTTCTGCTCCCTCCCTAGGTCTCTTGGGCTTCTGGCAACCTTGCCCAGTCATTCTCTCTGGACTCTCCTGCTTTGTTCCTATACACAACAGTAGCAGGGGCCTGGGATGTGGTATCCACAACAGCCAGTACTCTATGAATGGGGCATATCCTATCCCATCCCACCAAAGTGTTGATTCTTTACCATTTTCCCAAGACTGACCTGCAGCATTTATTGCTTCCTTATTATAGCTAGCTTGGAGAGCTGGATTCTTTGGCCATGGAACTACCAGACATGTTCCTAGCTCAGCTTAATTATAGAGAAAAAGGGAGGGGATGTCAATGAATGGGGTAGAGTTTTACTGCTTGCATCTTGGTCAGGTGGACCTGAGGTGGAGGCCTCTCAGTACAGTACAGATATTGATATGTCTACCTAGCACTTTAGGGACAAAATCAAACCCTTCCCCTTTTAGCTCCTTCACACTGCCCCCCTCTATAGTACACACACACACACACACACCTCTACATGCATTGTGGGGGAGGCCTGACACCTTGATTCCCCACTCATCTCCTAGACTTCTTTGGTTGGGACAACTCTGGAGCTAGCCCATTTGCCAGGGTCTTCCTCCCCACAGATAGGTCTCTTACCCCTCTTTAGTGGAGATTCAACTCAATGTCTTTTTGATCTTTTAAATGGTATTTCCTAAAGTTCCTTTTATTTTTATTTATCTTCCTACTTTTGCCTCTTTTGTCCCTTCTTGGTGCCTGGTCTTCTAAAGCCCAAGGCTAAATCTCTAGATCTCAATGGCCAAACTCACTTCAGAGCTTCGGTCTTTGAAGTGACAGCGAAATTACTGAGGTCTGCAGTGGGGGAACTGAGGACTGAAGGTTCTCACTGAAGCCTGACCTTAGGGCAGCTCAAGGACCATTGGTGCTTTCTTGGTTTAGAGTAGAACAAAATTAGTTTATGAGCCCTCACCACCAGTTTCACATGCTTCTCAGAATAAAGTGGAACTTCACCCTCCAAGGCTGATGGCACAAGACAGATGAGAACCTCAGGGCTGAGATGTGAGCATCATGGATTGTTTTTGAGTCCCTCTTATGTCTCTAATGGGCCACTTGAACTGATGCCCACTCCCTCACAGTGGATAAGATTTGAAGAAAAACAGTTCTCAGATGAGTGGAGTAACTATCTCCTTTCTTTGGGAACAGTGTATATAGCCCAGAATGCTGGATGTAACATAATTTGTAAAAACCCAAGATGGAGAGAGGGCACAGTTATCCTAGGGGTGGAAATGCTGAAATTTACTGCATATACAGGTGTTGCACTTTATAGTTTGCAATGTGTGTTTACAGCCATTATCTCTTGGATCTTTTTTAAGATGTTATTTATTTACTTGACAGAGAAAGAGCACAAGCAGGAGGAGCAGCAGACAGAGGGAGAGGGAGAAGCAGACTCCCCACTGAGCAGGGAGCCTGATGCAGGTCATGACCCTGGGATCATGACCCGAGCCTAAGGCAGCCGCTTAACTGAGCCACCCAGGCATCCCTCATTGGATCTTTATACAAACCCTGAGATGGGCAAGGCAAGGACTACCATCCCCAGTTTGCAGATGAGGAAACTGAGACCCATAGATGGAAAGTGACTAACCTTAAGTTACTTGGTGATGTAAGGGTGAATAGCAAGGCCTCTCTAATATCTTGAAATTTTAATTTTCTGGAAGACAATATTAAGGAGTAAGGAGATACTGAAAACAACAATCTTTGGCAGGAAAAACGGTGGAGAGACAAATAAGGCTCTTATACCTGGATGTGAATGAGGTAATGTTCTTGCCCATATACCAAGCCTATTCTCTCCCCTTCCCAGCAACTCCCCTACCCCTACCCTGCAGCCAGCCTTGATGTACATTCTCTGCCAGGTCTGACCCTAGTGTAAATCTAAGAGATTTTCCATTTAGCACTGTCCCTCAAGAGGTCAAAAAGTGAGAAGGGCTGCAAGGTCAGAGAAGATTCTTTCTACCTGCTATCTTATTTTATTTTTGCTCCGGGGTTATGAAAAAAGTGGATAAAGGCTGGAGGCAGTAGGAATATCCATTCTATTGCCCCCCTCCCCACATTCCACTGTCCAATTTAAGAGTCTCTGATCTTAGTTTGGGCAAAGACTTGAGACTTTTACTTTATTTAGAGGTGGGAGGAGTGCAATTATTTAATCTTTAAAAGCTTCCTCCAGGAAGATTGCAGCTATTGGAGTAAATACGTCAACTATAACTTCAGTACTTTATTAAAGTTTATTTTAAAAAAGTTTATTCACACATTATGCCTATTTTAAAGATGAGGAAAGTGAGGCCTAGAAAGACTAGTAAATTATCCAAAACAATGCATATTTGGGAAAAACAACCTGCCCTATATACCCATCCCCCACTCCCAGACCCAAGTGTGGGTCCCATGGCTGAGTGTATAGTCCAGGGAAGAACAAGTAGAGCAGAAACTGCTCTTCGCTATGAAAGAAGGACAGGGAAGGGCAATAGTTCTTTCCCTCTACTAGATACTGCCTAGATAACCCTAAAGGATCACTAAGCAGCTTAGGGAAGAGACTTAGGAGATGGATTAAGGCAGCTCATCCCTGCTACCAGGAAAACCATCTGACCCAATAGTCTGTAAATTGTTGTTGAGGTAACAGTGGTCTTCCATTGAAAAATAGCACATGACTTCATCTGCATCCAGGATATAGAGATTTTTGTTTTTTTTGTTTCTTTTCTCTCTCTGTAGTTCTTACCTCCTATGACCAATAAGGTTTTCTCTGCTTTCCTCTTCTTCTGCCAGGTTCCTCTAGACTCATTGCTCTTCCTGGGTCAGCTGGAAATTCTTAGGGCATGTTTGAAGAACAATGTTTCTCCATTGCAGCATAGGGCAAAGCAAGTGATTTCCCAGTGGGTTGATTATCTGGGCCTCACTCTTTATTTGAGGCGTATAACTCTCCAACTCCAGCAGGGAGCAGGGCTGGGTCTTGCTGTTTTTGAAACTTACAGAAAATTTCTGAGCCAAGTTGACCTTCCTTCTGGGGTCTGATTTTCCTTTTTTCTTTTTTTTAGCGTTATCAATTTTTTAAAAGATTTTATTTTTATTTATTTATATGAGATAGAGTGCGCCCAAGCAGGGGGAGCAGCAGGCAGAGGGAGAGGGAGAAGCAGACTCCCCGCTGAGCGGGGAGCCCCATGTGGCGCTCAATCCCAGGACCCTGGGATCATTCCTGAGCGGAAGGAAGATGCTTAACCAACTGAGCCACCCAGGTTCCCCTGGGGGCTGATTTTCCTAAACTACCTCCCAGCTGTCTCCCAGAAAGATCCTCCAATCAACTTAGGGGCAGCTGAGTGGGAGAAGAAAAGAAGCCCCATTTTTTTTTTTTTTTTTTTGCTTTAGGTCCTACTTACACATCCCATGACCAGAGAGGAATAAGTTCCTTGGAGACTGTATTCTACTTTATTGTCTGATTATCTTTCTGAATCCTGTAAAGCTAGTTCCCATCCCGCAAGTACTTAGTGGTTAATGAAGTGCATTAGGCACCGCGTGCACTTCATCAACAGGTTTTAGCCCTGGAAAAGGAATGTTCTCTACAGCAAGACCTCTGCTTTCAGGATTTTATTAAATGCATCTTTAGGGATAATCATCTATAATCACTGATTAAGGGCTTCTGGGGCAACCCATTGATGAGAGTGCTAAAAGCACCTGAGAAAAAGTAAAATGGACCATTGTACTGGACTGGGAATTAGAAGCAATTGAATTACAAGCCTGCACCAAGCAGCCTGACATCACACAGGTATTAGCAAATATTTATGAGCCAAGGCTTTTGGCCTTGGCGTTTAGGTTCTCTGTTCTTTTATTTCTGGGATAGTTTATTCTTCTCACTGGCTTTAATTAGTCATGTCTATACCTTCTGGTAGGGTAAGAACTAGTACCCAAACAGAAGATGATTCAGCTTGAGCAGGCCTTAGGTGTTCAAAGGTCACCATGCACCTGGCAGTGGTTCAAATCCAACACTACTGTTTTATGGGAAAGATAGTGACTGTACATAGCAATAATAACAATAATACAATGATAAAAATGACACAGCCCTCTTCACTGTGCCTGTTCTAGACTTTATAATTTATGAAGCTCATTTACACCCATTTCATCCTCCTAAGACCCTGAATTGGGTGTTATTTTATCCCTTTTTAAAGAAGAGGAAGACAGCTCATGTTACTAATTCCCAGAGCAAGGCTTTTTCCACTGCTTCAAAGCTTCCCCTTAACAACTGCTTTAGGATGATATAGGTATCATAGTGGAACTGGGGCAACATTGCAGGGAAAAAAAACAAAAAACAAAAAACAGCCAGGTAGCAAAATCTCCCAGTGGTGTGTCTATAAACACAGTAACTACAAAGCTTAGTGTGAGCCCCACAAAAGACAACAAACTTCCTGGCTGGACTACCTAGCCCTTCTAAAATAGCTTCTTGGCACTGACTTTTTCTGTAACAATGCAGATACTAGCCTTGGTTGCCAGGGTTACCTCAGTGCACAGGTGTGCCAGCCAAGAACAAAGTGCTCATGGTATGAACATTGTGTGATCATCCCAAGCCATACCCAGAATCACCTTTGTTCTAACTTCCTTTTTAAAGTTCAAAAATGGGAGTTGGCAATGGAAATAGGGAAATGAAGTTTTACTTTGCTTTTTAAGGTATCTTATGTACAGGTGAAGTGAAACATATTTTTCTTCTTTGTAATTGCTGTTTGGCCATGGCAAATATCACACTCAATTTTTTGCTTTTGGAGAGTGTTTTTATTTATTTATTTATTTTTAAATGTTTGGAGACTTCAGTTTTTGTTCTATTTTTTTATATTTTTTAAGATTTTATTTATTTATTTGTCAGAGAGCACAAGCAGGGGGAGCAGCACGCAGAGGGAGAGGGAGAAGCAGGCTCCCCACTGTGCAGGGAGCCCCATGCGGGACTCAGTCCCAGGACACTGAGGTCATGACCCCGCCGAAGGCAGACGCTTAACCATCTGAGCCACCCAGGCATCCCTGGAGAGTGCTTTTAAAGATTTCCTTTTCATTGCTTTTAAAGTGTGGACATCTTTCTTTGAGCACCTTGCTTGTATGTATTTTTGTTTTATTGGAGAGTTATTGGTCAGTGGAAGCACAAAGCGCACTTGATAAAAACATTTTCAACATGACCCCGAGCCCACATAATAGTTGAGTTGTCTATATTTGAACTAGCAAAGTAAGTTGTTTTTGTTTGTAAGGGAGAGTAGCTCTTTGCCAAGGAATGAGTTTACTTTTTGGTTCACTATTTCCCTCTCTGTATACCTGGATTTGGATTTTGACAGGGAAGAATCTGGGAGAGCAACTTTCTCCTCCAAGGTTCTCAGACCCAGGCTAGGTAAGAGTGTCAATACTGCAGCACTGTCCCCAACACACAGCCCTACTATACTGGGAAGATAATCTCTCATGCCCCTAACCCCCTGCCCACTTCATTATCAAGGTCTTTGGTGTTTTACACTGAATGTAGGTAAATTTTAATTACTTTTCCATCATAAATTGGTTATTTATATATATTTTGTTAAATCTTAAGCCATATATATGTGTGGCTACTGACAGATGGCAGAGTTCTGTTTTGTTTTTGATGCTCTGGAAATATTTCTTATTAGCCAGTAAACAGAAATACTTCCAAACACCTTTTTTCCCCCCTACTTTCAAAAAACCAAGATGCTTCCTTTGGCTGGTGTATCTCTGCTCAGTGAGTACAGCAGGGAAATAAGGAAATGTGTTTCTTACAGTGGATATAGCATCATGGGTAGTGGAATCCACTGACTTGTCTCTCATGAGATCTGGTTTATAGTCCAAGATCTCCTTCTATCTTTTTAAATTGTTTATAACATTTATTTTCTCATCTGGCCTACAGATCTACTAAAAATTTTTGTGTTCTAAACTAATACTTCTTAAGCAGGGTTCCATGGCCCTAGGAGACTTGTGCACATGTCTTCTGAGGTCTGCAAAATTTCTAGGAGTATGTGTATGTGTGTGTTTCAATTTCAATCATAAAATTTTAAAAATATAAGCATATTCTAACTAGGCCTTCTGAAAATATTTACACAAATATTTATAGAAGCATTATTTATAACACCAATAAAGTAGAAACAACCCAAATGTCTGTCAACTGGTGTATTGATAAACAAATTGTCATATATACATATAATGGAATACTATTCAGTCATAAAAAGGATTGAACTGGCACACAGTATGTCATAGATGAACCTCAAAGTATGCTAAGTAAAAAAACCAGATACAATAGAGCACATACTGTATGATTCGATTTCTATAAAATGTCCATAAAGGCATGCTAATAGAGACAGAATGTACATTAGTGGTTGCC